CGGCCCGCTAGGGTGCTTACCCTGGCAAGCCGCGTGCCGAACGTTGCCGACCCCTGGTTTATTGGTAAAGATGAAATATAGTGTTATACCCAAAGTCTTCTATTGGGGTTGCAAAATGTCATTTTATGGGTCCTGATCTAAAGTCTATGGGATTATTTTCATTGACTTCAATGGGTGTTGGATCAGGTCCATGAAGCAGTAAGTATTATTAGAAAACAGAGTGCTGTTTAAAGAGTAGTTCTTGCTGGTACAATCTTATGGGAAAACTTGACAATATCTGATCTCCACAGTCACACAGATACTACTGTTGCTCCTGATGTTATTCTAGAAATAAAAACTTACGTGGTGCTGAGAATCCATTAACACAATTATAATGCCCAATTAATCTTTGCAACTTGGGTGATGAATCATATCTCCAGGTGCACCTTCTACAGAGCAGACATTCACTCCAATATTAGACTATCATTTTAATACTTAATTTAACCTCTCCAGATTAGGCTGGAGGTGATACAGAGAAAGAGTTTAACTCAGATCCATATTCATAAATAACTTTCCCCAGGCATCAATGTGAATGCCTTGGTACCCTGTGAGCCACATTTTATTATGAAGGCTCAGCAGGAAGAAAGTTATGTGGCTTCCTTTCTATCTCCAGCTGGATTTCGTGGTATCTCCTGCCATCTACTGATAGTTTAAATTTAAAAAAAAAGCAGCAGAAGCGGCTTTTCTAATTCATTTGTCAGTTGAACAACACGGTCAATGATCATTAGATTTTGCTAAAATGCCATAAATAATCTATTGAAGCCGGAATCCATTAGCTTTTAAAATAACTAGCATCTATTTTTATCTTTCATCTTTTCTTTTTTCATCACGGCCATTGCTGGGTTTCATCTGATCTCTCAAATCATTGTCTTTTTATATATTACATATTTTTTCACCTTAACTTGAAAATTGCTCAGCAAGGCCTACTAAGCATTAGTTAGTTTCAGTATTGTACATGGTCTAAGTCTAGCCTGCAGCCCTGGGGGAAGAACAATTGCCAGCTCAAGCCACTAGAGAGAATGAAATACATGAGTATTTGCTATAGCTACAGATTTAAGGATCTGTTTGCTACAATCCCAGTAAATCTCTCATTTTTCTGATATGTAAATACAGCCTTTTAATAAAATAATCCAAATTACTACAGTATGATGGATAGAATTCAAAGTGATCTTGATTCTTCAGCCTGTCTTTCAACATTATACTTCCTGTCGTACACGCTTACACTGTCCTTTATCACTCAGGTGATCCCAATCCTGCCATCAAGTCAAATGCAGGACTCCTATAGAGGGTGATGGGAGTTTTCTGTGATGGCAGATTTGGACCTAGTTGGGTAGTAACATCTGCAAGATCCTGGACTTCAAAGGCAGCATTTTAAGGCAAGAAAACTATTTTATAAGTGATGTACAGGCTTAAAAAATATCAAATATTTTTAAGAGAACTGAAGTAAAATAAACATACAGCTGTTTCCTTGCAGTTTAATGTGTCCCTATTACTGCATTTACTAGAGTCTAGAGACACACCCCAGGAGGAATTTGACCTATTCTGCATGGGTTGAAGCAAGTTTCCAATAGTAAGAGATGACTCACATCCCATATATCCTGATAGTACATACTGTGCAGTGGAAATATGCTCTGTTCCTCCAAATCACAAGCCCTGCATTCATTCTTTGCCTGTCATACAGTAATGATTATAAATCTAGTGTTTACAAACAAGTCACGGTCAAATCAGGACAAACGTCCAAATCCGTTCCAATATACAGTGAGGCAGGCCTCCAGATTTCAATTACATGTGCTTGAAACAGAAGGATCTTTCACACGATTCCAAAACTCACTGGGCCATATCCTGTAGTTCTTCCTCAGCGTCTTTCCCTGCTTGCCCTTACACATAACAGTAGCCCTCACTGACATGATCGCAAGGGCTTCAATGGGGTACTCACTAGAGCTGTAAGAATAGTCTGCCCCGAGTAAGTAGCAATGCATAACTACTGGACCCAGGAGCAGAAATGTAACTCAGAGAGTCACAGAAAGAAATCACTTTCACCCGTGCTCCAGGAGATAAAGTCAGCTCCACCAGCCCTTACCAGGCACAGATCACGTCCCCCTCACACCAGCACAGATGCACTGGCCAGTATGTTGCGGGGACAGAATCAAGGCTACACCCATTCACTGTTCCTACCTGCCCACTCTCCTTTAGAGACTGTTTCACCCACCCACCTCATGCTACGACCCACAATGCAGGTTACCCTTCCCCCCACCCCAATTTTAGGGTTGCCAACATTGTATTTCAAACTAAGGGACTGTTTTCTTAACACCCCCACCCCTCCTTCCGATATCATCATCATTAATAATAATAATATTAAGTAGCACTCACCTATCTTTGCCAGGGGAATTTTTGCCAGGGGAATTTCTTGCTGCTTTTTGCAGCACTCACCAACTCCTGATCTTGTACAGAGATGAAAAAATAAGGGACTGTTGGCAACCCCCCCCCATCCAGCCCTGTGTGGGTACGTAGGACAAAGCATGATTTTGACCCAAGTAAGGGCTACTCCTGTGACTACGTGTCTGCAGGATCAGGCTCCCCTCATCCTTACCTCGGGTCATTAGGAGAAATGGCATGAGCTCAATGGGCTTTTCGCCAAGGACTGAAGGATATGGCCCCAACGTTTGGAAATCTTTCAAGGCAAAGTTTTTGTGACCTCCCCTCCCCCGCTTTCCCAACACGCACGCACACACACACACAGAGGCAGCTTTGAAATCTGATGGTGGTATTGTTTCAGAACTTGAAACACGTCCAATATTTGACCTTCATTTTCCAACTGTTGAGAAAACATTCCGTTCACACACCCTGATGTCTCTTCTCAAATGAGCACATGAAAATAGTCAGAAAGAAGTTTAAACCAAAGTAATTCACTTTCTAAAATAAAAACCACAAGCACTGCTTTCTAGTTCTATTTGACATGACAGCTCCTTAGTAACCAAAACAGAAAAATGTTCATGCTGCATTTGGGTTCTGTCGCAAAATTACTTATTTATTTGTTTGTTTGCAATAGATGTTGCTAGGCACTGCCCAGACATACAAGGGACAGTCTCTGCCCCAAGAAGCAAAATGTGCCTTGATCTAACCCCTTCAACACATAGGTGTATCTCAATACTCTAACGGGGCCAATTCTAAGTAATTTAAGCACTTTGGACCCAGCTGGGTCTTGAGGCTAATTCAAGGGCTGCTTATGCATGACACCACAAAACTAGTGTATTGATGGTAGAACTGATCAGAAACTTGTCAATGAAAAAAAGTTTTTCAAGGAAACTGAAGGGAAATTTTCAAAAAATCTTCTTGTGAAAATAAATTCACATTTTTTGCCCATCTCTAACATGTCATTTCACACATGCAATAAACTGGTATTTATATTCCAGACTAGAACAGACAATGCAAACGAAACCTCTGCAGCTCTGTAATCAATAGGGAACTGCATTGTTCATGAGTACGAGCCTACCAAATTCACGGTCCATTCTGGTCAATTTCACGGCCATAGGATTTGAAAATTAGTCAATCTCACATTTTCATGTGTCTACATCTGAAATTTCATGGTGTTGTAATGTGGGGGGGGGGGTCCCAACCCAAAAGGAAGTCATGGGGTTTGCAAAGCTGTTGTGTGTGTGGGGTGGGGGGGGGTTGGCGGGATTGCCATCCTCACTTCTGCACTGCAGGAAGCTCCAGGGCTGCTGCCCAGTTGCAGAACTTCCTGCAGCCGGGGAAGGTACCCAGAGGTGGGTCTGATCTCCGCCCCTGCCCCCCGAGAGTGGCCTTGCAGGGGAAGAGCAAGTTCTGTCCCTCTCCATGTTTTTCAGGCCCTGAATTTGGTATAGCCCTATACATGAGATTTCACCCATTTTTCTGCTCTCTTGAAGATCCATGCAAAAGTCTACCATGCAGGGACAGTATATTCATCAATCAACATCCTGATCAGATGCAGAGCTTGGAAAATCCAGTTGCTAGTGGTGAGTGGGAAGTTTTCCCTGACAAGTGTTTCTCCTAAACACAACTATTTCCCCAGAGTTTAGGGGTTTGTTTAAAAAAAAAAAACAATTAAGCTTCTAGCACTTTAGCTTGTGAAAATAACCTTCCAACATGAACTAATGTCGTGTTGTGTTCCTGACTCTTCAGAAAGACCGTATGCTGCCGCTCCTAGCTTTGCCAAGGAGCAAAGTGGAGTTCTGAAACTAAGCAGGACTCAATTCAGTGTCACTGCAATTACTCAGCACTCTGTGGACAAGAATGACACAGGCCTTAGGCATTTCAGTTTCACCCAGCTGGCTGGGAGAAGAATGATCCCAAAAGAAAAGAGGAGGAAGAATGAGCTGTGTAGCAGCAGCAAAGAGGCCCACGCAGAGGAGAAGAATAGTACAAATCTGATCCCGTGGCAGTAGCCAAGAGGCTTCTGAGGAGGCATAGAGTAGTGGGAACCCAGCCCCCAACATCTAGCAGCCAGGAGGCTCTTGGAGGAGGGGGTGAAACAGCACTGACTATCCTCCCACTCAATAGAGGGGAGGAGGCATGTAAAGAAGGAAACAGACAGCACCTTCTCTCTTCCAGGTGCTGGAGGGATACCTACTAGTCTGAGGCTGGTACACAAATGGCAGTCCCCAGACAGGTTCCAGGGACAGCAGCCTGATACAAATCCCAGCCCACTCTCCGAAGTTAGGATAGAAGAGCTGCGCTTCTCAGGAGTTTGTTGCCCCTAGACCCCGCTGGTAGAGGCTCCAACTTCGTGTTTGCCCTGCCTAGCAGGTTACTCCTCTGGCTAGTGAGTATCTAGTACATTTTTCAAGCCCCAAGTACCCCTATCCATATGCGGTTTGGAAATTCTAATAAGACATAACATGGGAAATAATCTTCACGTAGCCCATAAATATTTCAATAAAAGTTACTCATATTGTACAGAAACAATCATCATGGTATCTAAGTTTTTTCCCTTCACCTTGGATAACGGAACAAAACTGAATGGGAACTGTTTATGCAAACCTTGAAAGAGGATGCCAGGATTCTGTGACATAACAGGCCCTCCAGCAATGTGAAAGGAAGTCATGCTCTAGTTTTCTAGATGGAGACATGCCATAGCCAAAACTACAGTTCGTGATATGACCTTCACTTCATCAACAGGCACACTACACCTCACCAATCACTTCAATCATGATGAAAAACCATGGCAATCCGGGTTGGTTCCAGTACACTGGACACTCTAGTGCTGCTGGCCTCTATGAAGTCTGTAATTGAAATAATCAGGAATAGTATATGAAAAGTAGAGATATTTACATTGGTTTCAAGGGCAATATAAGCCCTTAGTGTAAATGAGATTGAGGCCCACATATGTGTTGGAGCCTGCACTTTCATGTCCTCTAACAAAATGGCCAGGAATAGGTGAATGGCAGAGGCACACACCACAAGGAGATACAACTATCACATAGCAACAAGTATGGTTAAACGTTGCCTACCGGGCAGGTCCTGTAAGGTGCTGACACTCCCGTTAAAAATCTGTTTAGGATGCACAGCACAGGGCGCTCCTAGAAAGCACTCAGCACTTCACAGGATTGAGCCCTAAAGTCTTGCTCATGGGTTTGACACAGACCTCAGTAGAAGCAGGACTGGGTCCAATATATGCCAGAAATACAGATATGGAAACCCTACCCAGAACCAGATACTCATCCAGAGATCGGACATAACAAAACAGAATGCAGCACGCTGTCAATTATCCAGCCCTTACAACACACAGAATTGAATTCGATATTGTCGTGTAAATAAATATGAGAATTTAGGGGAAGATTTTCAAGTTAGGTGCCTAATTCCCATTTATTTTCAACAGAAGTTGGGTGCCCTAACACACTTTTTAAAACCCCCACCCTTAGCCTTTAATTTAGAGATTTTGACTCCTTTAGGGAATTGATGGGCAGGATCCCCTGGGAGACTAATATGAGGGGGAAAGGAGTCCAGGAGAGCTGGCTGTATTTTAAAGAAGCCTTATTGAGGGCGCAGGAACAAACCATCCTGATGTGCAGAAAGAATAGAAAATATGACAGGTGACCAGCTTGGCTTAACAGTGAAATCTTCGGTGAGCTTAAACACAAAAAGGAAGCTTACAAGATGTGGAAACTTGGTCAGATGACTAGGGAGGAGTATAAAAATATTGCTTGAGCATGCGGAGGTGTAATTAGGAAGGCCAAAACACAACTGGACTTGCATCTAGCAAGGGTTGTGAAGGGTAACAAGAAGGTTTTTCTACAGGTATGTTATCAACATGAAAAAGGTCAGGGAAAGTGTGGGACCCTTCATGAATGGGGGAGACAACCTAGTGACAGATGATGTGGAAAAAGCTGAAGTACTCAATGCTTTTTTTTGCCTCGGTCTTCACAGACAAGGTCAGCTCCCACACTGCTGTCCTGGGCAATACAGTATGGGGAGGAGGCGAGCAGCTCTTAATGGTGAAAGAACAGGTTAAGGACTATTTAGAAAAGCTGGACATGCACAAGTCCATGGGTCCAGATCTAATGCATCTGAGGGTGCTGAGGGAATTGACTGATGTGATTGCAGAGCCATTGACCATTATCTTTTAAAACTCATGGTGCTCGGGGGAGGTCCCAGATGATTGGAAAAAGGCAAATATAGTGCCCATCTTTAAAAAAGGGAAGAAGGAAAACCCGGGGAACTACAGACCGGTCAGCCTCACCTCAGTCCCTGGAAAAATCATGGAGCAGGTCCTCAAGGAATCCATTTTAAAGCACTTGGAGGAGAGGAAGGTGATCAGGAACAGTCAACATGGATTCACCAAGAGCAAGTCATGCCTGACCAACCTGATTGCCTTCTATGATGAAATAACTGGCTCTGTGGATATGGGGAAAGCAGTGGATGTGATATATCTTGACTTTAGCAAAGCTTTTAATACGGTCTCCCACAGTATTCTTGTCAGCAAGTTAAAAAAAATATGGATTGGATGAATGGACTATAAGGTGGATAAAAAGCTGGCTAGATTGTCGGGCTCAAGGGGCAGTGATCAATGGCTCGATGTCTAGTTGGCAGCCGGTATCAAGCGGAGTGCTCCAGGAGTCGGTCCTGGGGCCGGTTTTGTTCAACATCTTTATTAATGATAGATTGCACTCTCAGCAAGTTCATGGATGACACTAAGCTGGGGGGAGAGGTAGATACACTGGAGGGTAGGGACAGGGTCCAGAGTGACCTAGACAAATTGGAGGATTGGGCCAAAAGAAGTCTGATGAGGTTCAACAAGGACAAGTGCAGAGTCTTGCACTTCGGATAGAAGAATCCCATGCACCGCTACAGACTGGGGACTGACGGGTTAAGCAGCAATTCTGCAGAAAAAGACCTGAGGATTACAGTGGACGGGAAGCTGGATGAGTCTGCAGTGTGTCCTTGTTGCCAAGAAGGCTAACAGCATATTGGGCTGCATTAGTAGGAGCACTGCCAGCAGATCGAGGGAAGTGATTATTCCCCTCTATTCAGCACTGGTGAGGCCACATCTGGAGTATTGCATCCAGTTTTGGGCACCCCCACTACAGAAAAAATGTGGACAAATTAGAGTGAGTTCAGCGAAGGGCAACAAAAATGATTAGGGGGCTGGGGCACATGACTTACGAGGAGAGGCTGAGGGAACTGGGCTTGTTCAGTCTGCAGAAGAGCAGGGGCAGCAGGTTTGTATAAATTTGGTGGTGCCCAGAACGGGTCCCAGTCCCCTCCCCGCTGCCTAAGGCTCTGGGAGCAGCGGCGTATTATTGCCTAGGCCGACAAGGACTAGGCCTAGGGTGGCAAATTTGCAGGGGCAGCAAATTTGAGCACCCACGGAGAAGCTCACCTGCTCCAGCTCGCCTCCTCTGCAAGTGCGCCACCGCGTCCTGTTTCTCTCCCCTCCCTCCCAGCGCTTGCACCACGAAACAGGTGTTTTGTGGGGCAGGGAGGGCGGGGAGAGGAGGGGAAACATGGCGCACTGGGGGAAGAGGTGGGGCTGGGATGGGGATTTGGGGAAGGGATCCAATAAGGGCAGGAAGGAGGCGGAGTTGGGGTGGGATTTTGGGGAAGGGGTTGGAATGGGGGCAGGGAAAGGGTGGAGTCGGGGTGGGGCCAGGGGCGGGTGGGGCAGCAATTATTTCAGGGCTTAGGGGCGGCAAAATCATTAATTCGCCACTGTCTGGGAGGGAGTTTTGTTATACCAATAAAAACTAGCAGGATCTTATTAAAGGGGACAAGAAAAAGCTGCCACATTTATTATGATAATTTGATTTATGACCAATAACTAATATCTTAATCCTTATACACACATTATACCTAATACCTATACACACACACACACACATTCACACACACACACATCCATCAGATGTTCTGCAGCTGCTGCATAGTTACCAGTCCTGCTTGAGTTTGCAGCTTGGGTTCATAGCTTGTGGCGACTAACTGGCCAGGAAAGCCGGGCACAAGGATGAGCTGGGTCTCTGTTGGGCATGCACCGATGCCCTTCCATGTTGGCAGCAGAATGTTACCCTCCTCCAAAGTTTTCCATCTCACCCACCCTTTTTGTAGGCTTTAGTTTGAATCCAGAGTCTATAGGTCTTGCTGTGTCATGCTGCCTTCAGGTTTGGTGATTGATCACCCGTCAATTGCAGACATGACTTTCAGCCTTGGACTGGGCTTTGATCTTCCTTCTATTGTACCTTTTCTTTTTTTAGGGTGGATTCTTTTTACTTTGTTAGGGCTCTTGTCTGCATCTTCAGCTGTTGGTGTTTGAACTTTATTTAATCAGGACAGGCTGGGGCTGAAGGTTGATTCCATCATCCATACATACCTCATTCACACATCTAAACTAAACTAATAAGATTTCAGCAGGGTTTGCAAAAATGAAGGTTTCAGCAAGCCCTTACAAAATGGAGTAAGCGTTTTAAAATGGGGTTTGAATTACAATATGGCAAACAGTGAACGGAAGTTACAATAAAGGCAAGTTTAGTGGATGGCAAACAGTGAACG